TGCATTTCCTCAATTTCCAAATTCCCCTTTGGGCACTGATTGAGACTAAATTTGTCTCCCTTAGCAACTGAAGTATCCCCTAATTTACATTCATGCATGTCAAACCTTTTAATTTTTTTTCCGATATAGCTCATTTGTGATAATCCTAAAATACCCAGACATCGATCTCGGTGTATTTGAATTCCTAATACAAAAGACGCATCATCAAGATCTTTCATTTCGAAATTCTTTGATAAAAATTTATTGGTTTCGTGCAATATGCCTATATCATTAGTGGCAAGTAGAATGTCATCAACATACAAGATCAGGAAAATATACTTACTCCCCTTAAATTTGTGATATACACAATCATCAACAATATTCATCTCGAAACCAAATGAGAGAATTACTTGATGAAATTTGTAGTACCGTTGACGAGATGCTTGTTTTAGTCCATAAATGGATTTTGTCAGTTTGCAAACCATATTCTTTGAATCTCTCTACACAAAATTTTCTGGTTGTACCATATAAATCGTATCATCAATGTTGCCATTGAGAAACGTCGTCTTGACATCCATTTGATGAAGCTTCAAATCACAATGTGCTACAAGAGCCATGATTGTCCTAAAAGAGTCTTTCGATGAAACTGGAGAGAAAGTCTCTTTAAAGCCAATTCCTTCCTTTTGGGTATAGCCCTTAGCTACCAGACGAGCCTTATACCTTTTCACATTACCTTTAGAATCTCGTTTGGTCTTAAACATCCACTTGCAACCAATGAGTTTCATACCTTTTGGTAATGGGACAAGTTCCCAAACCTTATTGTCTTGCATGGACTTATACTCCTCCTTCATTACTTCAATCCACTTTTCAGAGTTAGAACCTTGCATAGCTTGACAAAAGTTAACTGGGTCATCTTCCATTCTATCATTATTTTCCTCATGTTCCTGAAGAAATACCATGTAATCATCCGAAATAGCACTTCTTCTTTCTCTAGTGGATCTCTGCAAATTTATTGGCTCATGATGCACAAGTTCTTGAGGATCTTGAGTTTGTTCTTCATGAACAACCAACTCATCTTGAGTAAGGGGTTCATTAACAATGTCTTGTGAAGGTTCCGAACTTACTTTATCAAAAGTAACTATTTGAATCGGTTCTGAAATTGTTACTGATTCTTCCTCCAATACAAAGTTCCTAATTTTATTCTTCCCCCCCCCCCCCAAACTCAATATCCTCAAAGAACGTAGCAGTTCTCGTCTCAAAAATTATCTTTAATGTGGGATAATAAAATTTATATCCCCTGGATCTTTTAACATAACCAATAAAATAACTACTTACTGTTCGGGAGTCCAATTTCTTTTCATTTGGCTTATAAGGCCTTGCCTCAGCTGGACAACCCCACACATAAAAATGCTTCAGACTAGGTTGTCGCCCAGTCCAAAGCTCATAAGGTGTTTTGGTAGTTGCTTTAATTGGTACTCTGTTTAGAATATAAGTTGTTGTATTTAGTGTCTCTTCCAATAGTGATTCCGGTAAGGTGGAATGACAAATCATACTTCTTATCATATCTTTAAGAGTGTAACACAAGCTCAAGCGCCACGATTCGATTGTGACCTGAGCACTTATGCCATAATGTACCTGAGTGAGTATTTTCAATTTTACGTTTAGTACCAAGTGATTCTGTATTAAGGGTTTCATTATAGGTGGCCACAATATCAAGTAAATACTGATTATCATAAGCCAAAAGTGAACCAGTTCCAACAATATCTGAATTAAAAGACAAACTGAATTTATTGTTTCCAAATGAACACAAATAACCTAATTTGTCCAAATAAGAAATTGAAATCAAATTTCGTCTATATGACGGGACAACAAAAGTGTCTTTCAAATCCAAATAAAATTAGTACTCAATAACAATTTAAAATGCCTTATAGTTTTCACCTCTGCCGATTTGCCATCTCCAACATATATCCATTTTTTTTAAGAATCAATTGGCTTCTGGTAGCTTAGGCAACCCTTCATAGAAACACTGATGTTAGTAGTTGCACCTGAGTCTAACCACCAAGTGTTACTAGGTATTGACACTAAATTGACTTCAGAACAGACCAAAGTAGGAAACATACTTTTGAGGATTGAAACAAAATTTAAATTGGTAGATACAAAAACAATTGTAGCTGAATTTAGAACACGAGAAATAAACTAATTATGCTCACATTATATAAAAAATAAATAATTATAAATATATATTCAAATAATGGTTTAACACATCTCAAGACACCCAATGCACCATCAATATCAAGTTTTTCGACAGTAATATTAACTGCTAGAGGTATCTTGTTGTAATAATCAAACATTGACAATAAAGCACGTCCAACAACAAACCAATCTTTGGATTGATTTATCATCTACAAAGCAAATCCTTATAATTATCACATGTTTATCATTACAAGTGTGTATGCAATTCGGTCAAATATTAATCTTCTTTTGGACCGACTAATACTCGCATGAATATACACAAACACTTACATTCAATATTTTTCATGAACTGTTCAATTCAAGAGATGTTACTTTGGTGACTTCTTGACTCAATTTGCTCACAAAAATATTAAACTACCAAAAATTGAATATTTTATTTATATAACAAAACCAAATATTTAATATTTGCAAACTAATTCAAAATATAATCACCTCATTAGAATTCCACTAAGGATGAACACCTCTCTAGAATCTCATTAGGGATGAACACCTCCTTTGAACAAATCAAATGATGAAAAGACCTCATTTTTCACCAATACATAAAGGATGAACATCTCCCTAAAATCACACTAGGGATGAAATAGAGATAGTTCTGAGTCTCTTTAACACACTGCTCTAAACCCTAAAAGGGGATTAAATAGTAATCACTCAAACCCTAAACAGAGAATTTAACATCAAATTTTCCTAAAAATAAGAATAGTCATACTTGTGGAAACATTCACCATTTACCTAAGATTCTCTGTGTTGGGAACTCCACAAACACCACCCCCAATTCCAAACCCATAAAATTAAATAAAAACAAAAGATTCAAAAAAGAACAGAGAACCCAATACAAGAAAGATTGAAATTTGAAACACTATTTCTTTCTCAGTAAAACTTAAAACTTAAACTGAAATAAAAGGGAAAAACGAAGAAGAAGAAGAAGAAGAATCCATAGTTTCCTCCACGGTTCCATCAGCAAGCAGAATCAGATTGGGGATGTTACCTCCAAATTTAAATTTTAGGGTTCACAAAAATTAGAGATTATTCTCCGCTTAGAATTCATAAAATTGGATAATTTGAATTGTTTAAAACAAAATTAATCTTAATTTTCATAATTAGGGTTCTATAAATTAAATAGACATGAATCAAGTATAGGCGGCTCGATACCAATTGTTGGAAAAAATTAATAATAATAATAATAATAATCCTGATTTTGATTCTAACGATCAAACATAAACGTAATCTCATACTGATAAACATGTTGTAAACTGAATGCAAAAGCGTGCACTGAATTAGCCATAATGATGATGTCTTTGTAGAGCACTATATTGATCTTATGATCTTCCAACCTGAAGAGTACCTGTATTTCCCTCTTGATTTTCTCTCTTGATGGGGATAGAAAGAAAGGAACAGGAATGAAACTTACGTTCTGTCTATATGCTCCCAGAAGGGGACTAGGATCTCTTAAAATAACCAGAATTAGGTTAATTACTTAAGTTTTAAGTTTTAGTATTTCTAATTTGACCCCTCATTAAATTAGAAATTGTTCTATGGTCTCTACATAATTTTATTTTCATGACATATGTCTTTAGCCAAACTTTTTAATTTAGACATATCACTTTATTATTTAGCTTAATAAATAATTACCCTAACATATTTAAATTATGTATCATATATATACATTACCTAAAATTGTTTTAAATTATATATCATATATATACATTACCTAAAATTTGTCAAACAGCTTTTTCAAGAGTTTTTGTTTCTGGGCAATTTTCTTTACCTGATAGATGATTAAATTTCTGTTTAATTTTGTTAATTTGCTTGAATTCTTTACATCAGACCTGAGTAACTAGATAAACTTTTGGTGTCGCTACTGCAAAAATTATTTCTAAATATTGGACTGTTTGCATCTACGTGCATTCTGCTCTTCGATCTCTGTAAGTTACTCTTTTCTTTGTGTGATTTTGTGTTTGTTGCTGTTCACGATGTTTACTTTATGTCTTTCCTCTGTATTTATGTTCACAGGGCATCTTGATCACAGTGCTATTCGTGTGTCTGTTGTCTTGTTGTGTGTAAGTTAAATATTAATATTTTTCGGCTATAATCATGATTTAATCATTAACATGTTATTTATCAATGCCATGGTAAGAACATAAGATCCGCAGCTAAAAATTCGAACATATATGATGCGGTTTCCATTGTTAGATTTTCAGAATTTTGCAGCAAAGCTTGGATTAAGAAAATAAACAGAAAATATCTATATGTATAAAACAAATAAATATATAAGATTTTCATATATAGTGTTTGATTGTGTTTTGAATATGATTGTGTTTAAAACAAAGAACTATGACAAATATGATTTGAATAAAAACCTTAATTTAAGCATAATAAACAAAGAAAATAAATTGTACACATAATGATTTTGAATTATACAACGATCTGCTTCATAGTAACTAAGGTTTGATTGATTGCTCTACTTCGAAGTATGGATAGACACAATCCCATATCTTAGTCCTGAACATAGACATGGTTTCTTTTTAGCTTAAGATAAATTTCAAGCTCCCGAAAGAAAAGATTGGGAAGATGAAATTGACAATCATTGAGCAAGCTTAAGCTCTTGAGAAGAAAGTTTTAAGAACCCAATTAATTTAAGCCAAGAGCTACAATCCCTAGCTAAGAGAAGCAAAATGATCAACAAATATAGCCAATTACATTCAATTCTAACTTCACAACATTCACCAAAACTACAAATGGCCAAAGTCATTAGAAACTTGACTAATAAATCAACCATGAACGGTTCTAATTGGATGCACTGGCACCCCAAAAATGTTACACGCTGGACCTGATCTTACACTGCTGCTGTCCGAACACGTCACTCTACTAGTACCATTAGCTACTACAAAATCACTTTCATGTTCCACAAGAAACTCATCCGCAACAGTGCTATTGCTAGCCACATTCTCTTCTTCTTCATCAACCCTATCATTACTAGTTGTAACAGCACCAGTGTGATCGTGAGTAACGTTATGAATATCAGCCTCTTCATGTGGACTAGTTGGAGCTGTTTCTTCAAAGTACTCATCATAGTCATCAAAGGAAACATTAACAAGGTGCAATGTGAGTCGACCATTGGCTCGGTGTGCACGAAAGTACTCATGGTGTTTTACCTTCTTCTCCTTCAGAATCAACCTTCCCTCGCTTGTGTAGTACCTCTTCAACACCCATGGCATGTGTGAGGCCAGGTTCTGAGTTCGAGCTAGCAAGGGTATTGGGGGAGGGAACACTTTGTTCTCTTTCTTTTTGGTCTTGTTTATGGCCTTGGCATCGTTTCCTAATTTGTTGGATTTGTAATTCTCGTGTTGATCTAGAACATGGTTTGTGTTTTGGAGGTCCATGCAGCTCTCAGTGCCAATGTAGTCGTCGCTTTTTAGAGGGATTATGAGGCTGCTCATTACCATGATGGGTTGTGAATGTGAAGAAAATGAAGACAGAACTTTGATAAACCCTTTGGCTTTATAGATTAAGAACAAGTAGCAAGGGGTACTGATGATTAATGACACAGAAAAAGAGATGTATGAGGTCCTTGAGAAAACTAGAGTGTGAAATTTTTTCAAAATTATAAAAAGGGAATGAATGAATAACTAGAGAATAGGAAGAGGGTGTATTTAATGGAGCTAGGAGAAAGAGGGTGTGATGAGTGTGAATAAGGTAGAAGTTCAAGTGGCTAGGTTTTCGTGAAGGTTGGTGGCAATGAAGAAAGGCTTGAAAAGATTCAACGGAGACAGATATTAAAAGTGACGTCAAAGGTTGAGTTTCATGTGGTTTCTTCTGTCTTTGAGTATCAGAGTCTGATTCATTCCAGTGGCCTGTAAAAATTTCAAATTCCCATATCAGAAGACAAATTTAAGGACAAAAGAGCGCGCATATGACCACATTTTCAGTTCAAACACGAAGAATGGAATAGTAAAATAGCCAAGTATGAATTTATATTAGCTTAATCTCCAAACAATGTGTTAAGATATATTAATAGTCTTTCTACTACATAGCACTGTTATTTGGACAAATGTATACCGCTAATACTTAGATTTTTTACTCATTATCAAACTCAAGTTAGCATGATACATGGCCAATTATATATAGCATATTTTATATCCAATAAACACTATTCACAGGCAAAAAGCCCCTCCCAAAGTAAGAGAATGGTACTCTACTTATGCAGTGATTTTTTTTTTGGATAAGTCAATCACATGTTCAAGGATATTTACAATGAAAATGTATTATAAGGAGTATTTATTGGTCTTGTTTTACTTTAAGTAATTCTCATTATGTCACACATTTTTAAGTAACTTTACAAATTTTACTCTGATGAATAAAATCATATACAAATTGATAATGACTCGCCAAAATGATTTGATAGTTTATGAAATTGGTGTTATCAAAATATGATTGTTGATATTAAAAAGGATACTTCTTATTTTTAAAACCTAATGTGTTGTATAAAATCTAATTTTTCACTTTAACATTTTCATTATCAAATCGGTATATTTTAATAATTTTCTCGATAAAGTCTGAGGCTTTAAATTTAATATCTTCCTAATATCTTGACCTAAAACACTGTTCATCCAACAACTCTTCTTTAATAATAAAATAATAATATATTAAGATTATAAAATTTCATTAGTTGTTTTTTTTTTTAATTTGGCAAATTATTATACCGCATATGAAATATCTAAATTTACTTTGATGATGCATGGGCGCAGGAATATGGAACCATGTGTTGATGGGTGGTACTTCATGCATGTTCAAGAATTCCAGAGTTCCACGAATGGTAACGACAGATGGAGTGGGAAAGGAACATTTGTGCATGTTTCAATGAAAACTTAACAATCTTTTTAATTTAATTAGTAATAAAAAATGTAAGAAAGAGAAAACAGAGCAGGCATTGACAGTTGCCAGACATGAATGATGATGACTCAATTTCGTATGGTAGTGAATTGAAATGCAAAATCCAAACTTTCCAGAATATTTACAAATAAGAAAAAAAAAACATTGGGAAGCCATAATCTCTAATTTGTCCCATGTAATACGAGAAAATAAGAGACGTACCAAACCACACCACTAACCCACACAACTTGAAGAGAAGGATTAAGTTTATCAAAATTAAGAGTATACGATAAAACTAAACCAAATGAAATAAAAAAGAACCAAGACTAGAGTGTATTGCATACCTGAACCCTGTAATGCATATGGTGGTTCAAATTGTACGAAATGTGTTCATAACTATGTCTCTTTGCAGAATTGCGAGCACTGAATTGGGAAAAAACAAAAGTGAAGAAACAAATTGAAGAAGCACAGTAACAAATATTGTTTTTTTATAATTGGGTTAAGATGAGATAAACATGAAATAATGTTCCTAAATATGAGTAACGTACGAGATAACTGACCTTGTTTTGGGTCAATCTCACGCAGAGACTCGAAGATTAAGGTACTCGTAAAAGGACCAAGTTTTAACCGTCACATGTTTTATATATCTCTGTTATACCGCCTCGGTCTTATTATTCAAAAATAAATAAATATGTGGCTCTCGTTACAGCCCAAAGTTTTAGGGTGTAGAAAAAAAAATTATAAAGAGGTTTGTTTTATAAACTTTTAATGTTCTTAAAAATGTATTTGTTATTGTTAGTTTATTTCATTAATTTAACTTCCTTTAATATTAATAAAAAATTATATTAAAATCAAATTTCAACTAAATTATATATATATATATATATATATATATATATATATTTTATATTCTATAACTTGTAAATTTAGATTCTTTTTATAAAATGCAAGATTTGAGCTTTTCTTTTTCTAAATTTGGCATGTGAATCCGTGTGCTTGCGAACCTACTTCTAAATTGGATGGACTATAATTTCTAGTTTGTTATTAGTTACGTGAATATTTTTATAGAAGCTAAAATTATTCAACTTGATTCGTTTTGTTATCTCCCCACTTTAAACAAAAATATATGATTAGTTATTATTGTTATTATTATTAAATGAATCTTATTTGTTATTTTGTAATTTTAAATAAATTTTATCTTGTATAGAGAGTGTATAAAAAATGTGTTTTAGTATTCTTCAAATATTTTATAATTTCAATTCATAAAAATTATATAAAAATCAATAAATTTACTATTAATGATGATTTATGATTGGATAATTATAATATTGATATTATTTGAACACATTATTTTTGTTGCTAATGCAGTGAGTTTCACCAATTCTAGTTCACTCTTTCCTTCGATACTCCTCTTATTTTTCATATATGGGAAATAAGTTTTTTTTCTCTACTTAGTGAAATACTTTTCTAAGTTTAGATACACATAAAAATTCAGTTTTAAATTTATAATGATATAATTTTATTATTAATTATTTTTTATTGTTTTTTATGGTATTAAAATGTTTTTTAACTGATTTATAACATATACTAGTTTTGTGCGAAAAGGTAATAAATTTTTTATTAAAAAATCATTAAGAAAATATGAAAATATAACATATATTAGGTTAATTTTATTTAAAGGCTTTTTTTATACATTTGGTTATTATTGAATTAAAAATGTTAAAAAATGTATTTTTAATATTAGGTGAAGGTCGGCTAAGGATGCTGAGGTTAGACTAAAGATATTGATAAATAAGATTTTTGAATTATGATTTTAAGATTATTAAAAGTAGTTTATTTTTTAAAAAAATATAAATTCACTTACAAAATGTACTCGATGCTTAAGTCAATTTTTAGATAAGAGAATAATATATTAAAAATAAGTCATAAAATAAGATTTACTTGTTGACGAGTCTCTTTAGTTAGTACCTAGAAGATAAGAATAACCCAAAAATAATAACGAGATATAAAATATTATCAGGAGTGTCAAAATAAGTTTAATTTAGTGACCCGATCCAAAAAACTTAAGAAATAAGTCAGGTTAGGTAAAAAAAAAACTTATTATCTAAATTGAATCAGACTTATTTTAACATAACCTATTTAAATTATAATCTATATGGATTTAGATTAAGTTAATTCGTAGATTTATGAGTAGGTCTATTTTATATAATAGTAATTAATTTTTAAATAAAAATAATATTATTTTATTAAAAAATGTATAAATATTATAAATAAATTTAATACAAATTTTATTTATTCTAAGAGTAAATATTAAAATAAATATTTAATAACTACTTATTTCACTATCTAATATTAATTATTATTTTAAACTAATAAATTACTAAAAATAATTAATGATAATAAATAGTAAATTTTTAATTTTTATTTTAAGATTAAATAGATGTAATTATATTTTAAATAAAAACTAATCTTATTAATAAATTTTTTTTTACAAAATATATATTATTTATTTAAATATTTTTAAATTAGTATAAATATATTAATATTTTTTAAAATAAAAATTAATCAAGCTAAAATTGAGATGTTAATCTATTGGGATTACGTTAAAATTATGTTGGATAGTCAAATTTTTTTATTTAACGTATAAAATCAATAAGATAATTCTAAATATTATATAAAATAATATATTAAAAATAATTATATAAGATAATATATAATATAATAATTAAAAAAAAGTGATTTAAAAAAATTCATCCGATAAAAATAATATATATTGATGTGAAATGAGAAGATTTTTTATTAAAAATTTATTACAAAAAAGATGAAAAAAAAAGTTTTTCTTAGCTTCAAAAACAAATTTATTTTTCTTGAGTCCCTTCAATATCTTCAAAGCTTCGAAAGTTATTTTTCATTTTCTTTGCTTAATATAACAATTAAAATAAATTACTATCTTAAATATTAGTTAAAAATAAATAATAACGATAAATATTAAAATTGTAACTTCTATTTTTAATTTGAGTTATTTCTTTTCGTAGTTCTGCTGAAGTTAATCGAATGGCACATAAATTTGTCATCAACATTTCTAATTTTATAATTAATTTTAAATTTTTGTTCGTTTAGCGATGAAATTGACAGTGAAATACATATCCAGAGACTAAAATAGTTATGTACCCATTCTTAAGTAGGTCCCAAAATAAAAAAGGTTAGTCTTTAACTTTCTTAAAAAAAAAGAAAAAGAAAAACTGATTTAAAAATAATAATATAATTGTTTTTTACATTAACAGTATATAAAATAAAACTTTATAACGAGTCACTTTCACTTATATTTGACACAGAGAAGATAGACCACAACTAACACCTACTACTACTGGGTGGGTGATTAAGAGCATGGTGGCTATTGCTTTGAGTGAAAAGAACTTTTGCTATGTTGGCTCTGGCGTCATGATTGTAATGCTTTTCTTTTCCCCTCCGAAAACGAAATTCAAAAGGTTCGTACTTTACTCTTTTCCTCTTCTCAATTCAAAAATGAAGGAGAGTCCCACCAACTACACCACCTTCGTTTCTACGACTGACACGTGGCCATATCGATTACGTGTTTTAAGGTGCCTCTTTCAATTTCCTTAACAACCGCTTTCGCAATCTTCTATTTCCACACGCCATTCTTTTTGTAATTCTTATGTTCGTTGAAATACCTAAATTTTAATTTTTCTATAGACAAATATTTTTTTTTAATATATAAATGAAAATTATTGGTAGTGACACTTTTATATAAAGCACAACTTTTTTGAAGAATTGGGATTATAAATAAAAATACGATATATTTAAATGGTATCTTTTAAATAAAAAAGAAATAAAAAAAAGTGCATTGCTCAACATTTTTATCATTGAAATAAATTTAAATATAAGCTGCTAAATCATTTAAAGTGTTTTAAGTAAAGAAATATTTAAAATAAGTGTTTTAAATTGATGACATGGGAAGTAAAGTACTCTCCACCATAAAGCATACTTAACTTTTTAATCCTATAAATAATAATATTTTGACTATAATAAAGAATATCAAGAGAGACACGAGAGTTATAGTAAATATAAAGATTTCTAATTTAGGAATGGGTAAGTCTTGTAATAAAAGAATACAAGAACTGAGATAAATCTCCAATAAATCTTTAATTTGTTTAAAAATCTCCGTGAACTTCATCATCCTGATGAATTTTATATGTTTTTTATAACTGTCTCAATAATTACAGAATATATAAAAATTACTTCTTAATTTAATTTGTTTCACTCTCTTATTTTCCTGTACATTACATGCCTCCAAATGAAATGTACATCGCATGTAACTTTCTCTATCCACAATCTCACATGAGTTCTATCTTCATAATAGAAGTACCAACATTCGTCTAAGTCTCTATCTAACTAATGTCGAAAAAACTATGTACTCTGGAATGATCTATGATGAAACTGTAGCCATTTGTCTTGCAAACAGACACTCTGCTTTTTAGTACCTTGGATTTTCTCCCTTCACTTTATGAACCACTATTATAAATTTGAATATTAAATAATCATCACATAGACATAGGCATCCATTGCAAGCAGTATAATAATAAACAAACTCTATGCAACACAGTACATACAATAGAATAGACACATGCCTCCCCCCTCTATCCCTTCGCCACGTTCACGAGAAAACATTATTGGAACACACAAAAGGTGCACATTGCGCACCCCACCACCACCCTCTCTTCTCTCTGAAAAAAATAAAAGCTTGAAACTTTACACCACCCCACCTCCAAATTTCAGGATCAGACAAGGTTTTGCTCAAATTTAACTCCTTTTTCGGATACCCATTGGGGTTTTGGTTCGTGTGACCGTTAGTCCTGGAACTAAAGTTTAGGTTTTTTTTTTCTTAGTTTGGGTTCTTGGGCTTAACTTTTTTTCATGTTTATGGCGATTGGCCTTCTGCTTTGGCTGTTACTGGCCAAGGGTCTTGCCTTGGAGGGTGTTGTGGGAGTCACATTTTCTTCTAGGCTCGTTCACCGTTTCTCTGAGGAGGCTAAGGTTCATCTGGCTTCAAAAGGCAACTGTTCTGCGCTTCAATCGTGGCCTAAGAGGAACAGCTCTGAGTATTTCAGGTTGCTTCTTAGAAGTGACGTGACACGGCAGAGAATGAGGCTTGGCTCGCAGTATGAAACTCTGTACCCTTCTGAAGGAGGCCAGACCTTCTTCTTTGGCAATGTGCTTTATTGGTGAGTGAGTCTGGCTGTGGGAAAGTTCTCAGGAAAATAAAATTTGAGTCTTTTGTTCCATACTTTGTTATTCTTGTGTGATCTTATGAAGGTGTGAAATGTTATGCTAATTATGAAGTAACAAGCTTCGTTTCATTGTTTTGATTAAACTATTGGTTTGTTACTTGAAGTCGTTCTCATCTTAGTCATTGCTAACACTAGAGAACAATTTCTGCAAGTGTAAAATCGTTACAGACACTGTTTAGCGACTAAAACGTAAAATGGAGATAACTATAAGGATCTAATTCATGATTTAACTTGTTTTTTAAGAACTCTTATTTTAGTCAAAAGTATACTGACACCCCCGTGTTTCTTCTTTGAAGGGCTCTTTTATTTAGAGTAGACACACAATACTTCTGCTTTTCTATAATGTTTACAGTAATCCCTTACAGGGCTATATGGTGTGATGTATTAATTGGCTATTAGGGGTGTAGATGTCATGTATTTCACACAAGTGCGTTAATGTAGGGTTTAAAAAGACAGCAATATCGTGTGCAATCTCAAGGAACTGCAGATGTGTCTGTGTAAATTGATCTTTCTTTTTATTTAAAAAAATGGAACTTTGGTCCAAATCCGGTGACTTTACTAGGACTGTTAGTTGTTATTGAGATGCTCGCTCAGAGGTAAAATTTGAAATGGTTTAAGGTGATGGATTTTCTGCCGAACGTCAAAGTGCCTACTTGTGTTTTTATTGGTTAAATGATTAGAAATAGGATATAAAAGGAACTCGGATTGGATGCTAAATAAGGTTGGCAATGGTGTGTATGAACTTGTTCATTGTTGAATTTCAGGTTGCATTACACATGGATTGACATAGGGACTCCAAATGTTTCATTTCTTGTTGCATTGGATGCTGGAAGTGACATGCTTTGGGTTCCCTGTGACTGCATTGAGTGTGCTTCCTTGTCTGCTGGTAATTACAACGTGTTGGTAAGCCTCTGATATGATTTCCATATACCTTTATTTTTTTTTAATACTTTTTCATCTGTCAATCACTTTGTCTTGTAATTGCTATTATTATGAACTTCCTGTTTACCCCATTTAGCTTCATGTTTTGTCTTTTGTTTTACATATTGAAATATTCATTTTGTGAATCATTCATCTTGTAAGCGTATAAGATTCTGCTGTAAGCAGCCCTTTTGTAGCCATATGGACACAGGTGAAGTAGATGGGTTGTGGGCTATGGTAGGGGATAACAGAAGAAGCCCATTCTATGTATATGTGCATCTTTTCTGTTATGAATTTAAATGTGCCCTGCAGAAAGTTATTGGTAAGTCAATTCAAGAACACATCAAAACAAGTACTTGTTTTGTATGTTGCAACAACTCAAAAAACTGATACACCTGAAATGCTGTAAGATTACTATCATAGTACAAATATCTGTGCTTTGTCCTGTGTCACCGAGTCCATGCTTCTTAGCTATCTGTTAATAACATTAATCCTTAAAGTTTATGCAATTTTTTATGAGTAATTTGAATGTTCATATTTGGGGTTCTACAGACAGTTCTCCCAACCAAGAGCAGTAAGAAATTTAGCTGTTAATTTCAATGATTGATTGGCAGATGCTCCCTTTTATATGGGGGCATCTCTGATGCAGGATAGGGATCTGAATCAATATAGACCATCATTATCCAACACCAGCAGACATTTGCCTTGTGGTCATATGTTGTGTGATCAACAACCCTTTTGCAAAGGCTCTAAGGATCCTTGCGAGTATAATGTTCAGTATGCCTCTTATAATACATCGAGTTCTGGATTCCTATTTGAAGACAAACTACATTTGACATCTGATGGCAGACACGCTGTACAAAATTCTGTGCAAGCCTCTATCATTTTGGGGTATGTTTAATACCGTTTTAAATTTTGTGCTGTTTTGTTCTTGGAGGTTTTATGTGTTGGGCAAGATTATAAGCTGCAAGTTTGACTTGCATCAGCGCTATTGATAATTGATTTGTGTGAGTGCAGTTGTGGAAGGAAACAAAGTGGTATTTATTTACAAGGAGCTAGTCCTGATGGTGTTCTAGGGCTAGGACCTGGAAACATTTCAGTCCCAAGTTTACTGGCAAAGGCGGGACTTACTCAGAATTCTTTTTCAATTTGTCTTGATGAGAATGAATCTGGGAGAATCATCTTTGGTGACCAAGGTCATGTCACCCAACATTCTACACCATTCTTGCCCTTAAACGGGGAATTGTATGTACTGTATATTATTCCTTACCTGCTGCTTAGTTTAGATGCCATGTGTGTTGCATGTTAATTGTTTGATTTTGTTGCAGTACTGCCTATATGGTTGAAGCAGAAAGCTTTTGTGTTGGGAGCTTATGTCTCAAGGAAACTAGATTTCAACTACTTATTGACACTGGATCTTCTTTCACATATCTTCCCAATGAAGTTTATCAAAAAGTTGTAATGGAGGTGATTCCTTTTACCATAAATCTAGTGGTGTATGGTCATGCATAAACTGGGCTAAAAGAAATTTTCATTTAATACAGTTTGACAAACAAGTAAATGCAGCCAGGATTATTCTCCCAGAATGGGATTACTGCTATAATGCCAGGTTAGAGTATTAACTGATTAGGCATTTAGGCATACAATATCTTACATTTCATTGTAACTCATGGTTTTTTTTTCACGTGGCAGTTCACAGGAGTTGATTAACATTCCCCCATTGAAACTTGCTTTCTCTAGGAATCAAACCTTTCTATTTCAGAATCCTATTTTTACTGGTCTTGCCAGTCAGGTATGGTAAACCTCCAATCCCCCCTTCTCTCTTCTAAGGTGTGTTTTGATTGAAATTGAGTGAACCTTTAGATATTGATAAAAAAAATGATGTACAAAATATAACCTTCCATGTGTATCTAGGGCAGTGATTATTTTGTCATTCAATCAGTAGTACTTTGGTGTCTAGAGATTGCCATTGACTGAAAATGAATCTTTATAGTCTGCGTTTGGTTGTAACATCAAAACATTGTCAGAAAAGTGATTCTCTGTTTTGAATCAAGTTCCTCGCTTTAACTGGATTCTCAAGAAAAATCAACCCGAAAACAAACCACCTTACAGGGATCCTCAACTGCTTAAAAATTGAATATGAAAGAAAATATCTTCTATTGAATTTCAGAGCACAATGTTACCCTGTAGAACCCAAGGAGAGAGTGTAAGCATAGAGAAATTGATTCTGAATGATCTGATATTATATAAACATTGCTCATATATGAATCAAAAGGTTATCTTTGATGTAATCAGTATGTTCTGTTATGAGAAATTGACTTCCAAATTCCAACACATGTTGTATAGAAATTGAAGTAGATTCTGGAAACATTTTGTGTTAAACTCTTTATGATTTATGATTTCATCCTCTGTTAGAGGAGAAAACTGTTGGGGTGCTGAAGAAGTGATCTTGATACGAATAATTCTCAGGCCTCCATTGTGAATTTTCTCTTCTGATCAGCCAGGATGTTTCTGTGGTTTAAAATTCTTTATTCATTAATTTTCCTTAATGTTTCTGTGAATTTTCCATTGTGAATTTTCATTAATATTCATTAATTTATTCTCTTCCCTCCCCATCTCGGTTATAATTTTGATGAAATACGAACATCTGTTGCAGGAACAGCACTACACCCTCTTTTGTTTGCCCATAACTCCTATCGATGAGGACTTTGCTACCATTGGACGTGAGTATACCGCTGCCTACCCTATGTGAAACCTAATGATATCACGTTTCCTTTTATTTCAGCAGTGCCGCTATTTTTCTATTCTTTTCTGTTCAAGTTTTTTAAATATTTATATTTCCATTTTGTTATCTGGTTGCTCCAGCAAGTTTATGATAGCAGATGCATGTAACTGCTCACACATGTTTACTGATAGACCGATCATATATTTGCATGAACATACACCCTTATGCTATCCTGGCTGACAGTGAGTGTTGCCTTTCATTTGCCACTCTTGTTTCAGAGAACTACCTGATGGGTTATCGCATGGTCTTCGATAGAGAGAACCTGCGGTTTGGCTGGTCCAGATGGAATTGTTAGTATTTGTTGCACTTGAAACTCTTAACCTATAATTTTCCCAAATCTTAATGAAAAATATCTTCTGCTTGTTTAATTTGGATTCTCTTTTCCTAGTAATCTCTTTACCAACATAACTACACAATCTAGTCTAACCTATGAGATTTTGTCTAGATAAATTTATCTATAAACACACATGGAAAGAAGATAAGAGAAGTTAAAGTACATAATGTGAAGCTCTATTCATTTTTTTTCTTCAATTATATTTATGAAAAAAGCTATTTAAACAAGATTTTATGGGAAATCTTTTCATTTTGCTTTTAAAATATCATTCTCTAAACACAATTTTTTCCAAGAATCAATTATTTCAAAATTGCTGCCACCGATATCTAATCTCTCAGAATTTGCAGGCCAAGATAGAGCAAGTTTCAAATCACCTTCCAATGGTGGATCACCAAACCCTTTACCGGCAAATCAGCAGCAGAGTGTCCCTAATGCTCGTGCTGTGCCACCCGCCATTGCCGGACACGCCTCCCCCAAACCCTCTGCAGCAACAGCTGGAGTGACCTCTAGGCATTCCTTAGTTTTATTGTTACTACTGATATGTGACCTTTGGCTTTTATCTTGTTAACACTCTAATTTGCTTGTAAATTTCCCTCCTGAAGACTCAACTTTTATGAGGTTTTTACTTTTTCAATTTTGTAGGTGTTGTATCTATTGGGGTTAGTGCGGAACTTTTATTTATTTTGGCTAATTCTTTCGGTCGTAGCCCTTTTTTCAATCGTCTTTCGTATTTATCATATTTTTTTCTGCTACAACACCTTAACTTCTCATGAGTTTTCCTATGCCAATTACTGCTGAAAAACTGAACTGATTTAAATTGTTGATAAACTAAATTGCACACAAAAATAAATTATTTAAAGAAAAATTTATTTGAATTGTTACTTTAGTTTAGTTCATGAAAATTAACTAGTCTTAAATATAACGTCTATACTGCAATGAATTATAGATTACAAAATACATTTTAAAATTTGATCTCTATTTGTAATCATTAAAATAATGATTTATCCTATAATTTACTTTATCTAATTAATTATACAATTTAGTTTTGTTGAATTTATCTTTTATACACCCGTAATCAATTCGTATTAATTGTTACTGAAAAATAATATACAAGTTTAACAGGGGTTCTGTCTTTCATTTTAACGATATGTTTCTTTCAAGAATTTATTCTACAACTTCATTTTAAACAGTTCTAAGGTATTATTATTATTATTATTATTATTATTATTATTATTATTATTATTATTATTATTATATCAATAAAAAAAAGTTTAAATGTTGTTCCGGAATTGTTTTTTAAAGAATAGTTGTCAATGCATGTTTTTTTTACAATGTTAAATGATAAAAAAAAACACACAAATCCTCGTTAAAAAAAGTAAAGAATAAAAAAAATATAACTATTAAACTTATTCTTTACTATTTATTAAAATTTGGGAATTTTATTTGTTGTTTAATAAATTTAATTTATAATTTTATAGCTTTAACTTTAATTTATATATATATAAACAATGAACATAGTATTGGGCAAATGGCGGTAGAAAGTTTGACGTTAACGGTTCTTAATTTTCAAGATGTTCTCTAAATTAGGAGAAGTCTAATCGTTTTCTTCTGCACAAAAAAGAGCACAAGTTGGGACAAGGAGTAAAGCATGAAGAAGGTCACAACAATTGTTTCAATAGTTTTGATCTCGCTACTTTGTTTCCACGAACTCGTCTACGTTTCTTCGTCACCTTTCTTATACGCAAGCCAGGTAATGGCGCATGCCTTCGCGTTGGACTTTGGTAAACAAAAACTCTGTGATGTATAATTTCTTGCACTCATTCTTTTATTTGAGATGAGTAAGATATTGTGGAAATGGGGCTAAAACAAATAGGTTAATTACGAATGATTTCGAGTTTGAGATGTGGAAATTGGAATAGTGAGTTTTTAGGGTTCAAGTTCATTGTGTTGAGCTGCGAAGGATTTCTAGGTCACAAATAGTTCAAATGCTGAGTGTTAAGGCATTTGGTTGATTTAATAAGAATCTTTATGTTGAACCTATATTTAATTTGAGCCATGATTTAGGAAGTTAATTCTCGTTTTCTTCTATCTTTTGCTCCAGGTCTATGAGGAATCTTCTGCTGAAAGGTATTGTAATGAATTCGCAATTAGTTATTTTTAGTTAACACTCTGTTACCCAAATATGTCGACGGTTTGCTTGACTTTGATTTTTAGCTTTTGAGTAGAGATTTTTTGACACCCTTCAATTTGCAAACATCCAATATACAACTTAATTTTATTTTTTAATTGATAGAAAGAAAATGAAATAAAATTGATAAATAATAATATAATATTATAAAGATGATTGTTGGATGAATGTTTTTTTTATCATTGAGACACAGTATCCTTCCTAGCTACGAAGAAGTATATGAATAGTGATTTATAGACAACCACTATTCATCCAGTCTACAATTCCCTATAATAATAATAATAATAAATTTAAAAGTTTTATCAATATTATATTATTAAAACGGGTTGTAGGATTCGTTGGAAGATGAGTGTCAACTTATCCTTTTCCTTAGTATATTGAAGTTTATACTTTTGCTTGTCTCTCATGATTCAGTCTCATGCATGACTCAGTTGTGTTTTTCATTGTAGAAAACTTGAACAGGGTCGGGAACATGCTCAAGAATTGCATTGCTCCAGGGAGAGAAGTAGGGCAGCTCGGAAAGTGATAGACGAGGTATGAAAATTCTTTTGGCAATCATTATGAATTTATGCCATTGCGGTATTCACTGTTAAGTTATCTGAATTTTGAATCCGATCCATGAATATTGTTAAAAACACATGTTAATAAGAATTTGAAAACATGTAGTTTCAATGTATCTGGTAAACATAGTAATTAGGAAAATTGTAACTTCTGTATTTATTATACTTATTATATAAATAACAAATCCCTAATGTACGCAGATTTTCACTACATCGTTTTTCTCTCTCAAAGATATGTTCCTTATATGTTTTTTGTAGTATTTGACACCATTTGTGGAACGAGAAAACTACCAGCTTTTGAGTAAATGCAGACTTCACCCTGAAAATGATATATTCATGGATCAGGAAGAGCATAAAATCTTCATAAATACACACGAATGGCGGTGTGGATATTGTAAGAAAAGCTTTCGGGAAGAGAAATTTCTCGATCAGCATTTTGATAACAGACACTACAATCTTCTGAATCTAGTATGACAATTTTCATTCCTTTCTCATTGGGCTTGGAGGATACATAATGTGCAGTGCAAGCTTTAATCTTTTAATTTTATCAGTTATCTGATGAGTTTGAAGTTCATAACTGCCCCAGTCATTGCTCACCCTTTGTTTTGTACATAGAACTTTATACTTGTGTCAATATTTGGCTCTGTTGTAATCTGAAGATTCACGTAAGTGCATTCTTTTTGTTGTCATTCATGACTTATTCCTGTGAACTTGAAACGTTTTTGTTATTTCTCAATACCTGATGAGGTCAATATCCAAGATATACTAATATAGATGTACCCTAACATATGTACCCTAACATATACTAATATAGATGTACCCTGATGAGGACCATACACCGTTTCCTCCCCTAACTCCACAGCAAGTTTCCTTAAATTGATACAAGTTTACTTTGCTTTGAGAATAAGTTAATGTATTTTTTTGATGGCTTCCAAATGCCATGAGGGAGTAAAAAGTTGTCTAATCTTAGTATTTCTCACTGTATGATCATTTAAGTTATTTCTATATTGGATATGGAATCAATAGACACAAAATTGGGCCTTTTTTGGGAGTTTCAATGAGTTTTTGAATCTTACATCAATTTTACTTGCAGTTCTTTTTTATGCTTTTATTATTTATCAGAAATGTTGTTTCCATTGGTGGGCTATTTGAATGCAGAGTCATGGTAAATGCTTGGCTGATGTATGTGGGGCGATGCATTGTGATGCTGTGATGAATTTCAGATCCTCCAGAAGCAAGTGCAATCCGACAGCTGCTGCAAGAAACCGTCATCTATGTGAGGTTGCTTTAATTTCGTTTTCTTTCTCTTTCACTGTTCATTTTATTGTCAACTATTCACCTAATCCATATGCACTCTTAATTCAGAGTCTTGCGGACAATTGTTTTCCTATTAGTGAGGGTCCTTCAGCAGGCCGCCTTCATGGTATACTTATATTTTTTGTTTCTTTCTATTTTCTATACTTAATCCTGCACAAAAAGGGTATACACAAATTATTCTAATATACTTAAAATTTTTTGGTTTCTTTCCAATTTCTATACTTAATCCTGCACAAAAGGGTATACACAAATTATTCTAAATTGAAAGAATTCCTAATAAGAATTAAGGTAAAACATGTTGTTAAGGGTTCATCAAAAGCTCAGATTTTTACTAAATTTTGTCATTTAACAACTCCCTCAAACCTAGAATCTTGCTTGTCCTCAAACAAAGTAGTGTACTTCTTGCCAAAAAATAATATGGTAAGCCTATACTCAACTATATATAGCTAAATGTTATCAGGATGATTTGATAGAAATCATTGTTCACTGCTAGTTTTGAATCCAGAACAATTGACACATAAAAATAGTTTTCTTGAGAATTCCCTTACAAAGACGGTATATATATATAGCAGGAACAATTCATTAACTTTTCCTAAATAAGCATCATTTCTTAAGCATATGATTTGGTATGTAATTTCATCTCTCAAGCATATGATTTGGTATGCAATTTCATCTCTCAAAGGCAAGCGTTTCCCTCATTCAATCATTTGAGTCAAATGATCCAACATTGATAGTCATCTTCAAACAATCTCAATTGTTAATCAAGACTTAAATAAAAAGGTCTTTTAAAGGCTTGTCTCAATTGTTAAGCAAGACTTAAATCAAAAAGGTTTTTTAAAGGCTTGTAATGAGGTCGGACTTTCAAAGAATTTATTGGTTTTTCTTGAATAACAAAATATTTGAGAGATTAAAGACTTTTGAATGATTGTTACCTTATCATTCCTAAAGTCAATGCCTTAACTCCATGCTTTCCTTCCAACTTTTCTTTTTACTTTTTTGACCGCCTCAACATCACAAATTGAGTTTAGATAGTATCCCTCTCAATTCAAATTACTAAGTGTTTCTTGACTTTCCACATGTAAGTTTCTATCATTTAAATTGGGCATTTTTTAACAAGAGTCATCTTCTTTGTATTTCTCTTTTCTTGATTTGCTCCACCTTCTTTTTCATTCATAGTTCTTCAATCTCTCAAATAGAAGAAAGGTTGGATAATTATATATATATATATATATATATATATATATATATATATATAATTTTTACAATTGGCTCGAGGAATTCAAATAGGGTTCAACAAGGGTCTTTTATAATTAATGCTAATTAATGCAAGGCTGGTTATTTGGCCCTAGGTTAATTCAATTTCACAACAACAAATTACCTTTATCATTTTCAAGTCTCCTTTTTAAGGCATAAAATTGAAGAATCAAGCAATAACATTCATTGTCATGAAGTGTTGAAACTTTCTTAAACTGTTTAGATACACTACTCACTTGACTTTCATTTGGCTTCTCTACTCAAGTTAACTGCTAGTTTCATACATTAGTTTCTTTTCATGCTCATCCACCAACATCCTAAAGTCACTTGTTGAAAACAATCATATTTCCTCTTTGTTTAAAAATCTCATTAAAAAATTTATTTTGTTTTAGACTTAATTTTAGACATATTTGCAATAATTTCTTTCTACTCAAACTTAACAAGGATTTCAAAATAAAACTACAACAAACATTTTAGTAACCATGTTCAAGTAAACTCAAAAGTAATTAAGGCAGATTCCACATTTGACACACATGAAACATAAAACAAAAACTAAGTGATACTTAAAACAATAGAACTAGTCTTGCAGTTAAATTTTGAGTTCAATCTCCTTAATCTCTCCGCTTCCTCCATAGTCAGACATGTTGTCTAAATTTTCATCCTCTCCTAAAGAGGTTCCTGTTCCATCTTCTCTTTCATTTGTTGCTTCAGCTGCACCTCCCCCTGAGAAAATAAGGTTGTCCCTAGACCATTAGACATTGGACAAATGCAACAAACTGCTTTGGGTTTGACCAAGGTACTGGACCATGAGTATGTAGAGAATATCTATGCCAACTTTCATGCAGGCTCACTTGACTTCTATGGTTGGCAGCTCGCTGGCTTTCAACATGCATCATGTGTAGCTCCAAGCATTGCATATATTCAATTACCTCAAATCTCCTTATGGATGAGAGGACGAGGCTCCCCTTGATTGTGGTGCCTATGCTTTCTGTTCATGGGGGTTGATGCAATATTTGTCAATGAATTTTCTATCAATTGGGGATTTGATTTTAACAGTGGGGTTGACATCTACCCCATTTGCTGCACAAAGGACTATGATCAATGTGGGGTAACCCAAAGCCTTTTCTTGTCTAGTACTTCTTCCGCTTTCCTGGATGACAAATGGGTGAATTTCCTCAATAAAGGTCACCACATCCAGGGAATAACCACTCAAAATGCTAAAAACAATGTAGCATCTGGGCATATTGAGGTCAGAGTTGTGTCTTAGTAAGGGTACAATGTTAGCTAGTAAGAAGGAGGTTTAGATTTGAGAGATTGTTGTCATATTTCCATGGAAAATTCTCATTGGTTTTTCAGCATGATTTGCCTCATAGGTTCTTCCAGATATACACAAGAGTTTGGCTGTTTTATTATCTTCAAATCGTGATTGAGTTAAGCCTCTGCCAATGCATAGCTCTCCTTCTTGCAATGTCATAGGACTCCCCAAAAACTCATTTATTGTGTCCTTCTTCAACAGGCCAAGCATTGGCGTAAAATTCTTTTACCACCTCAGGGTCAAACTTGAGACAGGGCTCTGCAAGCCGTCTCCAATCCCTTCGAGTGATCTCATTATTGAACTGAGTGTATTCACCCTCTTTTAGTTTCACTCGTTCAAAATTGAAATTCCAACTTTGAATCATCTCATACCTTTGTTGTTTATGTTCATCTTTGAAAAAGGTTGGTGTTGAATGGTGTAGATGACTGACCCGTTCTCGGTCTTTTGCTCGTAACTCTGGAAGAGGTGGCCACTTGCTTGTCATTTGCCCGTGGAGTTGGAGCATAAGGCATTGTGGGTCTTAAAAGCACTTAATTATGATTTCAAGGATGCAGGCATATGAATCTTCTAGAATTTACAAGAGCAAAAATGATTAGAAAATTATCAAGAAAGAGTTCAGGCTAGGCTAGTCAGCTCTATTGTTCAACTCTAGGCTGAAAATCTTCCCTTGAAAGCTTAAATCCAAGTGGTTTGAACCTTTTGTTGTGAAGAGTGTCACACCTTATGGAGTAGTGGAGGTGGAAGATGTCAACTTTTCTGTTAAAATCAAATCCCCAATTGACAGAAAATTCATTAACAAATATTACATCAACCCCATGAGCAAGAAACACAGGCACCACAACCCCAACTACAACCAAGGTGAGCCTCGTTTTATCATCCACAAGTAGATTCTTAGTTAATTGACTATATACGACACTTGAAGCTACCCATGATGCAGTTTGAAAGCTAACAAGCTATCAACCCCAGGGTTAAGTGAGCATGAATGAAAGCTTCCACAAATATTTTCTACATACTCATAGTCCAGTACCTTGGTCCAACCCTGATCAGTTTGTTGTACTTGTTCAATGGCCTGAGGAGAACCCTTTTTCCCAGGGGGAGATGCAGATAATGAAGGAGAAGATGGAGCGGGAATGATGAAAATTTAGAGAACATGTCTGACTACGGAGGAAATGAAGAAGATTGAGGAGGACTAACCTCAAAATTTAATTGTAATACTGGTTTTATTGTTTTAAGCAATGCTTTTAAACCAAACCGGTCACCGAAACGTTAAAGACATGAGTTTAAAGGTTCAATCGGGGTCCAACCGGATTTAATAAAATAATATTTTTATAACATAATAAATATATAATAAATTTATTAGAAATAAAGTTTTCTTTAAAAAGAAAGAAAAATAATAAAGATTATCGTCATAGTTATCGTAAGTTACAATAAAAATTATAAAATATATTACAGATTAAAAGATTGATAAATATTAAAATAAGATTAAAAAAAAGTAAAATATATTATATCTTTTATAAAAAAAATTATATTAAAAAAATTTGATCCTAAATTTTTTTTTTACTAAAATCGGTTCGACCCAAAATCTCAATTGTTTTGTCCCGGTTTAATTAAAGTTCGGTTATGTGGAAGTAACAAACTGGTTTTTAATTCGGTTCCTGGTTGAACCGATAAGTTTGGTTTTCAAAACAATGGTTTTAAGTTTCATTTTGTGTTTTGTTCTATGTTTCATGTGTGTATGTTATGTTGTGTGTTAAATAATTGAATGTGGAATATGACTTGCTTAACTTTGAGTTTAACTGAACATGGTTACTAATTAAATGTTCTGTGGTAGTTTGAGTAGAAAGAAATCATTGTATATGTGTCTAAAATTAAGTTTAGAACAAAAGAAATTTTTGAATGAGATTTTTGAAGAAAGAGAAAATATGACTATTTTCAACAAGTGACCCTAATAGATGTTGATGCATGAGCATGAAAAAAAACTAATATTAGGAACAAGGAATTAACTTGAGAAGCCAGATGAAAGCCAAGTGAATAATGTACCCAAAAAGTTTAAGAGAGTGTCAACCCTTGATGATAATGACTTGAAAATGATAAAAGGGAATTTATTGTTGTGAATTGAATAACCCAGGTCTAAATAACCAACCTTGCATTAATTATAAATGACCCGTGTTGAACCCTATTTGAAATAGAGTCTTTGAGCCAATTGTAAAAATTATATACATATAATTATCCAACCCTCCATCTAGTTGAGAGATTGAAAAACTGTGAATGAAAGAGAAGGTGGAGGGAAAGAGAAATATAAAGAAGATGGCTCTTCTTAGAGAATGCAAATTGAAAGGATAGAACCTCACATATGGATAGTCAAGAAACACTCAATAATTCGAATTGTGTGAGAGCTCGCTTGAACGAGAATCGTTGCCATTGAGGAAGACTATTTTCGCTCAAACAAGACATGCCAGCGAGAAAAGCTGAAACTGGGGTGACTCTTGGGCTCAATTTCGCTCGAGCTAGGAAAAACTCGCTTGAGCGAAAGTAGGTTTCTTTAGCATGGAGTTCTCTTTCTTGTTTGAGCAAAAAATCATTAAAATAGAGAACATATAAAGAGCGGGAGAACCTAAAGAAGAGGTCAGATTGAGAGTACGGTGTGGATCAGGCAAAGAAGATTCAATATCTTCTCCTTGGCTTCTATATCTAGTTCGTATCTATTCTCATTATGAGCAATTAAGCTCATCTTGGATTGAGATTGAATATAACTTATCAACTTCTTTTGTACTTCTCTTGATTGGTTTCTTTCCAATTTCTACACTTAATCCTGCACAAAAAGGGTATACACTAATTATTCTAAATTGGAAGAATTCCTAGTAAGAATTAAGGCAAAACATGTTAAATGTTCATCAAAAGTTCAAATTTTTACTAAATTTTGTGACTTAACAATTTTCTCCATATTGTTGCATTATGATGTTTCTTGTCATTGCCCCCCAAAATTTAATCTTATTGTGGGGTTTGTTGATTTATTTCTCACCCAATTTCCTGGTGTACTGGTAGAATTATTTCTGCACCAATTTTGTGATGCTCACACTTGCTCAGGGAAAAATAAACCCTTCTCTCGAGGAGGCAAGGTAAAGCTTGATTATCTCATTGGGTAATTTATTATCAATACGCCTTTCATTAGAAATCTGTCATTGCTAAGTCTATTGGTATAAGAAATCTATACTTCCACTCTAGATTATCTGTGTTGTGATGTTTTTGGCCTTGTGTTGTTTACAAAGTCCCTCTGTAAAAGGAAAAAGTCTTACTGACATTAGGTAATGCTTACTTTTTGGGCTACCTGAAATTAGATTCTAATGTCAAAACTTGCAGTCACAGTACCTTTACCTTTCTATTTTGAAGGTTTTAAAATTTTAAGCATTATCCTTTTGTCTTTTCAATTCATTATGCCACAATTTCTTAAAGACTTATCTATTATAACTAATTTATTGACAGTTACTACCTGTCAATAAAGCTGTTATTTGTCAATCCTGATATTTTGCCACTGCAGGATCAAAGTAGTTTCTTTCGCCTGGCTGCTGGAGCATTGATCTTGGTGCTACTTCCTGTGTTCTATCTTTTTCTTTATTTGGTACAAAGGTACTATTTCTATATTTTAAATGTGATCTAACCAATTGAAGTTTTACACCAAAGGTTTCATAATGCTATTTTGCAAGTTTTAGTGATGCGAAGAATCGAACACAAGAGCTTCGTCGGATTTCAAAAGCTCAATGGAAAGCCAAACCGTCATGATTGGTAATTATTTATCTCTTTCAGATGGGCATGTCTGGTAATTAAATGGCAGAATGGGATGCAATGACAACAAACTTGAATTAATTGTCAGTAAAATTGTGGGTCTTTTTTAATAAATGTATACGTTTTTTAAGGACAATAATTTAGTTTGTCGTTTTTATCATTCAATTGTTATAATGAAATCTGTTTTGTTAGTTCTGTTCTAATGTAATTTGTGACAGAAGAGATCTGTTTCTGACTAAAAATGTCTATAATTTTATTTTTTTCCTAATAGTATTATGCTTGCTTGAGGGCTAGCAAAAGTGTAAATCATGAGGTGTGATAAATGTGTAATATTGAGCTGTAGTTATGTAAAACTAGCGACTATTTGTACATCATATAAGGTTGTTAGAAACATTGTTTCATCATTTTAGCGTATGACTGATATATTTGTGTGTTTTAGTAAAGTATCCTGGGAAACAATCTCGTAAACTTGTTCTTTTTTTGGTCTTGACTGTAGGGCACTACGAGAGAGTAATTGGGATGAAGAGTCTCGTATCTGGTTCAGAGCACAAGTACACAAGATGTGGAAGTCATTTAAACCGCCAATGGTGCGTTGTACTCAGTTCAACAGTGTTATCTTCATGTTATAAATTGAAGATGATCCTAGGGGTTAGTGCTCATTTGAATGCTCAGCAGCGCATGTAAAAGTCCCATGCTATTTTGATAAGATTGTAGCTGCTGATTTGTGTGCATTTAAATGTCAGTCCAAAGGGCTTTTAAATGTACCCAGTTCACTTGGATTGGTATAAAAAAATATTCCCAACTTCGTTGACTTTTGATAGGTAAAACTAAATGATGTAACACTCTGAAGGGGTTACTATGCTCTACTTTGGGAATTCAGATTTGTTTATCAAATTTTATTATCTCATGTATAGTTTTGATTCGTTTTAAATGTATCAATAAATTCCTAGGTTGGGGAAGCGGAATGATTGACTCATTCCTCTTGTTTATTTGTATTCTTATGTAGGTGTCCATATTCTTTCATTTCTTGATCAATAAATTACTTTCACTTGCCTAGAAGAACAAACTCACATGTCACTACTTAAACTGGGTCACGACTGCCCATGTTGATTGTCTATAAGAGTCAGCTTTAATTAGTTTGATTTTCTAATATTTTATCCTCTAAATGGAGACACCTCAAGTAGTTGAATATTAAGGAATTTGATCATAGTTGTTGATGTCCTAATAATACAGTTTAATAATTGTGAGATCTCATGGAATTCTCATGCTTGATGGTAGTAGTACTAGTTGATAACACCTAAGAAATTAGACCCTTGATTAACGCAAAAGTAGTTAAATGTGAAGGAATTAGTTTAGTTTAAATCAACATATTTGATCTTTAATTTGTATGTAATTACCTATATTGAGAGTTATGTTAAATAGTTTTAGACCGTAATTATGATCATTGTAATTCATAGCGCTGTGTATTCTGTTTCGTAATTTTTTTATATATTCTTTTATGGAATCTATTTATCCCGGTTATCATGAATTAATGATTTGGTATTTGGAATTATTAAGGTTTCAACATAAACATGTAGGCGATGTAGGACTTTCAACACACCCCCTCCAACGAAGCCTGTCGGACCAGGCAAAAGGTACTTTTGACCCAACTAAAGGGTAATTTTTGGTCCATGACAATAACCGGAAAGATGTTAGATTTTGGCTCATACCATGTTAAGGTTCCAACATAAAACCAATTGGCAATATGTGGAGTAGCCTAACATGTATTTAAATTATACCAAATTATATGAGGTAGGCGAGGTGAGACTTTCAACGAAATATATATTCAGAAAATGAATCTTAGGATTTATTTGATTTAGTATTTTTTTTTTATTATTTTGAGATTAATTTAGAAATACTTTTAAAAATAAATTAAAAAATAAATTTATTTAATAATTCTATTTCTAAAAAAATATTTTATATAAAAGAGGATGGTATGGATTATGAAAATGAATGGCTTAATGTTATGATTGATGAAAGTATTACTATCTTTTTAACGAAAACAAACAATTAAAATAAAAAAATATTTTTCTTAATTTTAAAATTTTCATTTTTAAAAATTATCAAATAAAAAACAGTTTTTAAAAATTTAAAAGTTAAAATTGATAAAAAATATTTTTTTAGTTTTTTATTTTTATTAATCTATATTAATATTTTCATCAATAATTATATTTAATCACTCATGAATATGAAATTATTAAAATAAATTTTCAATTTTGATAACGATTTTTTTTATTTTCTATGTAATTTTTTTATATTAAATAGCTTTTAAAAAATATATCAAATATTTAAAAATAAATAAATTTTTAAACTTATTTCTAAAACGGTTTTTAAAAACTAAAAATTAAAACTAAATCAAACAAATTTTTAAAATATTATCAAATTAAACATTATTAGTTTTAAAAGATTTTTTTAATGAACATTTATATATATACACCAATGATTGTTATGATGCTTAAATTTTATTTATAAAGAAATTACACGAGAAAATTATACTAAAATTTATAACAGAACATCATGTATTAATGTATAATTTGGTAAATCAGGCCTATACTTGTAACAATATTAAACTATACAATTTGATAAAACATTACAGAGTCAAATAAAATCCTGTTAGCTAAACCATTTGCATATTCATTTTCTTCTCTAATAAATAATAATAAAAATGTCAAATCATATTTAAACCATAAATTATATTATCTGCTCGTAACCTTGCATAATAATAATGTCATGGTCAAAACATCTGAGCACGTAAACGAAACATCTGAGTATTATGTTCAAAAACTATTTTTTTTAACAATGATATCATAATTTGATACTATATGCATAGTCATGAAATTAAATAATTAGTTTATTGTTATCTATATTTTTTATCTATTTATTTATTTTTTATTAAATTCATAATAAAATATAAATAATAAAAAAATATTTTAATAATATTTTAATTTCTTTTTAAGAATTTAACAAGTGAATTTAATTAATTATATTATTATTAATTAATTAATTTAATTAAGTTTCAGACAAAATTTAAAACAATTCAACCATTTTATTTATTAATTTTTTTTAATTTAAATACTATAATTATATTACAACAAAATTTAAGACAGTATCAATGTTAATTTCACACTATTATTTAATAAAAAAAGAAACTATTTTTTTAAAATATTATTTAATATTTATTTTAATGTATAACTATATTTTAGAAATTAACAAAATAACATTTATGTATAACTTCTCCCAAAAACACAATAACTTTTATATACCTTCTCCGTGTATAATACCTTATCTTTTATTCGATAATTTAATAAATTATATAATTAAAATTCAATTTAATGAATTACAAATTAGTTTTTTTATATAATATTATGTTGAGTTCTACACTCTTATTAAAATATTATAAGTACGGTATGGCTATTTAAGTAATTATCAATATTTTTTTATTAAATACTAGTTGAAAGATAGAGACTTTTTTACAGATATAATATTATATATTATATATATCAGAATCTGTAATGAGTATATTTACTCAATTGAACTATTTCACTGTTACGTTTGGAATTCGGTTTCCTGCAAACCGAATTTCAACATTAAACTTGTTATCTTTTTAAAATAAAAAATTAAATAAAAATATAATTAAAAATAAAAAAATTATATAAAAATAATAAAAATAATATTAATAATAATTTTATTTTTAAAATTTAAATAATATTTATATATAAAATAATAAAAATAATGTATTATTTAAATATATATTAAATTATTTAAATATATTTAAATAATTATTAAAAATATTAAATAATAATTTTTTATTATATTTATATATATATATATATATATATTTTTTTTAATTGGAAATTTAAAATTTATATATTTTTTTTATATGAATTATTTAAGTTATAATTTTAGAAAAAATAGAATAAATAAAAATTTAATTTAGCTAATATATTACAAAAATTAAATATTATATTACAAAAATTTATGTAATAGTTTTTATTTGATAAATTATAAATATTATATTAAAAAATTAATACTAAAATTAATTTTTTTAAAATAATAAAGTAAAAATATTATTTAATTAGTTAACAATTATTATTATTAATATAAAATAAATTTAAAAATAATAAATAATAAAAATTGACAGAATTTAATGTATAATATTAAAAATAACATAATCATTGATAATAAAAATTGAAAAATAAAATTATTGACAATAATGTTAAGAAAATTTTAATCTCCAAAGTGGTGTTCAGTTCCACAATGAGGACGACGTCTATTACGTTTTGGATTTCGTCGGTGTGATTGTTCTTGAATTTCAGGAGAAATTTGTAACATTAATCTCAACATTGATCTAAACATGAAAGACGTTAAATAAAATTTCATTAATAACATTGATCTAAACATCATAGATGAAACAAAATAATTTTTAAACAACATAAATTAACTACGTGGAGTAGAAGCACGGGTAATGTTGGGACATGTTTTCTTGGTATGACCAAGGGTATGACAATATGAACAATTTTTTACACGACCATGTTGTTCTATAATGTCCATCTGTGTTCTTATTCGGCTTGACTTAGGTCGACCCTTTGAAGTTCTTTTCAATTCTGGGTTTGGGCACAAAGTTGGGCCTGTATAAGTTGGCCAATAGTCTTCATGTCTGAGTTCTCCAAATTGTTGCTCATACACCTTAGAAACTTGTTGTAATGTGTACACTGGAGCGATGTACATGTTAAAGTCATGATGTGCGTGTTTGCATGCTGCAAGTACATGCAAGCATGACATATGAACTTTTTGAAACTTCCCACAATCACACCATAACTCATCTAATCTAACTATAAATCTCCCTGCTTGTGCTTGATCTATCGAAATTGATAACTCTGTGGGTGTTTGCCTTTGAGTGTGCATCTTGCAATGTTTTCTAAGCAACTTCGGAGTATATATGACCAGCTGTGATCATG